CGTCTCTAGTGTCATTAGTAACGGAAAAAATAGATTTAGAAACAAAAAAATTTTGTTACAAAACTGATTTTTTCTTGTAGTGTAAATTAAGATTACGATAACTTAATTAGTTTAATTAAAATTAAAAAATCTAAAATGAGATTAAAGTGTGTAATCATTTTCAAAAAAAGAAAAGTGACATGGTATGTGGGACGGACAGAAACGGCAATGTGGACATGATATTTGGGATGGAGAGAGTACTATTTATATGTATCATGTTAATTATCTTTTGAACTTTAAAGTAAATATTTAATATTTTCAATCGAATTTATTGTATATATTTTAATCAACTTCAACTAATAATAAATTTTTTTAGTTTTTAAAATTTATTAATTAAAATATTATCATTCTTTTATGTCATTAAAAATTAAATTTAGAATCTTGAAACTTCATCTAGATATAAAGTATTTTAATTTTAAAATATTCTTAATATAGTAAACTATTAATTATTTCATATGATATAATAATTATTATAGCTTTAATATAAAATTACTTTTTTAACATACAATATAAAATAAAAATTATGCATTTATTTGAATATATAAAGAAAACTCATATAATAATAATAATAATAATAATAATAATAAGAAGAAGAAGAAGGAGGTGTGTTTATTTTGTGTTTTGATATTTTTTTATGTGAAGTATGAAAAAATATAAAAGAATTATTTTTGATTTTTTTGAAAATAAAAAATGATGTGTAATATATTAATTTTTGAAAAAATATGTTAAAATTTTTGTTAAAGGAATAAAGCTATCATTTTAGTATATTTAAAAATATAATTGTAAATCTAACTAAAACAATTATTCCCGTTGATGTGTTTTTTCAACAATAAAAAGTAAAATCCGAAAATAGGAAATTATCTTCGAATTTGATATATTTAGCGTCTGAGATTAGGAATCTCTAAACACTGTACGGTACAAAAAATAAACTGGAAAGTAAAATACTGGAAATTTAAATGATGATCCCCGAATCACTGACTTTGTCGTCGTTTGAAGATGATTGAAGATTCCTTATCAGTTGCAAATCTCAATCCTTAAATATTCTTCAGAAACGGTACTGGAAACCGTCGCCAGAACGGTTACAACGCCTCTTTTTTCAACCGTCTGCCAACTCTTCTTCTGCTGACACGCGCCCTCAGCCAACCAAACTATTACTCTCACTCGCTCTCAACAGTATCCGACCTCCACACCAACCGATCTGCCTATCCAACCGCGATTCTTCTGACTTTTTGGACCGACCGCAGACCTTCCACCTTGTTGGTCCGATCGCAAACCTTCCGACTTATTGGTCCAGCCGCAAACCTCCCGACTTGCAAACCAACCGACTTGTTGGTCCAACCGCACACCTTCCGACTTGCACATCGTCCGACCCACTGACCAACCGACCTGCAGATCATCCAACTTGTAAACCGTCCGACTCGCAGACTTTCCGCCTTATGGACCACCCGACCTGCAGACCTCCCGACCTGCAAACTGTCCGACCTGCAGACCTTTCGACCCGCGGACCTTCCGACCCGCGAACCTTCCGACCTGCGGACTTTTCGACCCGCAGACCTTCCGACCTGTGGACCTTCCGACTTGTGGACCTTCAGACCTACGGACCTTCCGACCTGCGGACCTTCCGACCCACTATTTCCTTAGAAATACGTCTATTTCACCCGATTTTCTCGAAACACCCCTTGATCAGTCCAACAAACCCAATTATAGGTCCATTTTTTCTTCTAACTTGAGTTTTTTAATATAATTATAAATTTTATACGTAACAATTCCATTTTTAATTTTTTTAATAATTACTTTTTTTAATAAAATTGAATATCAGATCAACAATATAATAAACTATTAATTTATATTTTTGGATATATTTTATAGCATTTGAATTGTTTATGAAAGAATATGTTGCAAGATAAAATATTGGAGTATAATTTTAGTTTTAAAGAAGATATTAAGAAATTTATGTTAATTTTTTTAGAATGTAATTTATTTTGCACTTATAATTATTTAAATATAAAGAAGTATGAAATTATAACTTTATATTCAATCAAGAATTAAAAATTTATACTTTGTTCTTTCAATAAAAATTTTCAACATATTTCTCCAAAAAATTAATATATTACATTCACTCTTTATTTTTATATTACATAAGTAATTTCTCATACCTCACATAAAAAATATCAAAATACAAGACAAATACACCCGTTACAAAATAATAAAATTATCTATAAATAGTAATTAACATATTTATTTCTCAATTTTTAAAAGTAAGCTTCATAAGTGTGTTGAAAAATCATACTTAACTACATTAAATGAATTTGTATATTTATGTTATAAATACTAAATTATTATTTGACTAAATATTTTGGTAATAAATTCTTAAAAAAATTTCAAACTTAAATGTGTTTTATCGTGCCTTTCAATTTAAATTGTAAATACTAAGGTTTTTTATAAGAAAAATGTAGAAATAGTAAAAAGTCTATAAAAATTTACAACCAAACATAACATAATTATTTCTTTCTTATATAACATATACATACATGTATAGTTTATTCACATCATTTTTTAAATTAATTAAAAATATATTTAATATATAAAAAATTATAATGTAATAAATACAATAAAATTTAACCGTGCATAGCACGGGCATCCGCTAGTAATAATAATAATAATAACAAGAAAAAAGTAAAATAATATGAAACTTCTGTGATGTGTGTTAAATCTAGGAGCATGTATAAGATTTTTAATTATGTATGTGATATATTATTTTGCAGTAATGTTCATGAGTGCAACAAGCGACAAAACAACAATTATGATATCATCTAAAGTGTAAGTAAGAATATATACAATGAGAGTAATTTAAGTTACGAAAAAATAAATGAAGAATTGTTGGATATTTTGGCCTTTTGTGGTTCATACCAACTCGACCCTCATTTATAGTAATAAATTGGACTATTCCGTAGCCCGACTCACTGGCCTAACCAAATTCTGTTTCATATCTCTAATTCCTAATCTAGCCTTTCATTTGTTGGATTATACTGTAAAGCAAACTTTTAGTACGCTTTTGTATTATTCAATTTCCTTATTAACTGGAATAAATAAATTGTTATTTCACATTGTGTTGCTTTTATTTATGTTTTATATATATTAGCATGTCCACTTATTTAATATTGTAGACAACATGGTGTGTGGAGATCACACAGAAGATCTTGTTGTCAGTTCTTTATTAAATATAAATGGGTTTCACAACTGAGATGGTTATGGACAAAACCATCGGTTTAAGTTGTAGTGTAAACTTGGAATTAGTTTGTCTTGACTATTAGTTTACACTAATGTGCTGCGTCACATTGAAAGGATCACAGTTGAGATATGTTCTTCTATTCTGACATTGAAGAACCAAGATCTCGGTAACTCTGTTAATTCTTAACCTTAGATGAAATAAATTAAATATATGGAATAAATGTTCGTTGCTTTAATTTACCATAAGTGAGAATCCTTAGTGATTCAATATGCTTCGTATTTTGGGCAACTACATTATTCGCATAGTAATTAATTTATTATCATTAAGGCACCATGTCCTGGACATCCAGGTTGATGACATCCCCTTAAGGAACTCAATAAGGATTATTGTATAAACCCTGCAGGTGGATTTAATCCGTACAATAATAAGTTTTGAGTGGTATTACTTAAGGAATTAAAAGATATTAATTAATTAAATTGTCAGAAGATTTAATTAATTAATGGATGTGGAACATCTTAAACATGGGGAATTAATTAAGTTTAATAGAAGCCCAGATTCAATTTGGGTTGGGCTGGGAGTGCAATATTAATTCTTTAATGGAATGAATTAATATTTTATGATTCGAATTATATTCAGGGCTGAATATAGAGATTTGGATCTATAAGGGAGCCCGAGCCCAACACCTTCTAAAGATCCCCGGTCTGGCCCAATTACCTGTTGGGAGACTTATTAATATGCGGTCTTTGTCAAACCCTAGTGACGTTTTTTTTTTAAAAAGAGGCGAAAACCACAGGTGCAAGCCGTCAGCTCTAGGGTTTCACGAAGAGCAAAATTCGTCTCCCTCCGTTTGATAGATCGCCGCCCATCCGGTGTTCGAGCGGGGTTTGGGAACAGTCTGGAAGGTCTCTAGCGGAATCAACCTGTTCGTGATTGCTGTTGGTGGTTCCAAAAAGGGTACATCTCTAGTTCATTCTTATAGGAGCATGCTTAGGATCGTTTAATACCATGTATGTACGCGTTGGCATCCAACAACGATCCGTGGGAATGAACAGCCCTCACCGGCGTTAATTCGTGATAACTGTAGGAGATTATTTGCATTAAATATGACTGCCCTTCGGTTGCATATTAACTGTAAATAGTTGTCCTTGGCGTTAAATTATGGTCATTACTTAGATGTGGATTTTAAATATAACCCCCCAACGGGGTCCCTGTTTTAATTCACATGGCCAGTTCTAAAGTATCGGCAATTAATTTCATTCGTCATAAGGATAAGTTGATGAGATAATGAAATTATAGGCTAGCTGCCTGTTTGGTGAATGCATGTGTAAACGTCCGTCATAACATGGCTTGCATGTGCGATTTACTGAGCTGTCGTGATATGTATAATCTCGTGGTTTTTGAGGTTTTCCCATGATTTTATGCTTATGTGTTAATGTGAATTACTGCTTACGTGTTTGCATGTTTCTGTTTGTTTATTTCAGTTATCAAAATGTCGTTCAATCCACTTATGACTGTTCTCAATCAAAACAAACTCGTTGGTCCGAATTATTTGGACTGGAAACGAAATCTGGACATTGTCCTTGCTGCGGATGACTATAAATTCGTCCTAAGCACCCCTGCTCCAGCAGACTTAACTGAGGAATCCACTAAAGAGGAAAGGGAGGCTCATCGGAAGTGGCATAGGGCTGATCAAATGAGCCGTTGCTACATATTGGCGTCAATAACCAATATGTTGCAATTGCAGGTTGAAAAGTTGCCTACTGCTACTGACATGATGTTGAGCCTCAAGGAGCTCTTTGGTGAGTCAGATAGGGCTGCTCGATTTGAGGCAATGAGGAAGATTATGACTTCCTTCATGCCAGAGGGAACTTCTGTGCGTGAGCATGTTCTCAAGATGATGGAAAATCTGAATGAGATAGAGCTGCTCGGGGGTCAAATCGATGCTGACACCAAGATCGATATGATCCTGCACTCACTCCCTAAGTCCTACGAGAATTTCCGTCTCAACACAATCCTGACCAAGAAGGACTATACTTTAGCCGAGCTTCTTGTGGATTTGGTTGCAGCGGAGGGACTCATGGGTAGGACTCCACAGGCGCTGTTTTCTGCGCAGTCTGGACCTTCTTCGTCGAAAGGCGGGAAGAAGAAAAAGCCTGCCAAGAAAAAGGGTGCTGCAAATAGTGGGAGCAAGTCGGTCGCGCCTTCTGGTGGCGTGAAGAAGCCAAAGGGGAAGTGCTTTAAATGCAGCAAGACAGGACATTGGAAAGCTGATTGTCCCCTTCTGAAGGGCAAAGATGGTCTCTTCTACTTTGCTTGTTGAAACATGTTTCGCGGCTAGTTCTACCAGTATTTGGGTAGTAGATACAGAAGCCACTGATCATGTTTGTTGTACAATGCAGGGGTTCCTGCCACCAAGGCAGCTGAGTGAGGGCGAGATTATCATAAGCTTGGGAGATGCAACCAGAGTGGCAGCGGTTGCAGTGGGAGATGTGCATTTATCTTTTTCTGATTCAGTTTTAGTTTTAAAGAACGTTTTGTATGTGCCAAGTTTTAGAAAGAATTTAATTTCAGTTTCGAAACTTTTTGTGGATGGATATTCAGTTGTTTTTAATAAAAGCGTTTTTATTATGAGAAACAAAGTTGTTATCTGTTCTGGCACATTGGAAAACAATCTTTATACTATTACTAGTGCGCATCAAACTGAAACCAATACTCAAGTTCATGCATCTTCATCATTAAAAAGAAAACAATCTTCTAAATCGAATCAAACATATCTTTGGCACCTTAGATTGGGTCATGTCAACCTTAGGAGGATCCAAAGACTAGTGAGCAGTGGTTTCTTGGACTCTCTCCAAGTGGAACCATTCTCAGTCTGCGAGTCCTGCTTGGAAGGCAAGATGACCTCCAGGCCTTTTAAGGCCAAGGGAAATAGGGCTAATGAAGTGTTAGAATTGATTCACTCTGATGTATGTGGGCCTATGTCAATTCAAGCTAGGGGTGGTTTTGAGTATTTTGTGACTTTCACAGATGACTACTCAAAATATGGATACATTTACTTGATGCGCCGCAAGTCTGAATGCTTTGACAAGTTCAGAGAATTCAAGGCAGAAGCGGAGAACCGTCAAGGTAAAAGTATCAAGTCATTACGGTCTGATCGTGGTGGCGAATACCTTAGCGCTGAATTTAGGCAATATTTGTTAGAGAATGGGATTACATCCCAGTTGACTGCGCCTGGTACTCCGCAACAGAATGGCGTGGCAGAGAGGAGGAATAGGACTCTTTTAGAAATGGTGAGGTCAATGATGAGTTATGCTTCTCTACCCATCTCGTTTTGGGGATATGCCTTGGAAACAGCGGCGTACATCCTGAATTATGTGCCTTCCAAATCAGTTCCTAAAACCCCAATAGAATTGTGGTCCGGGCGAAAGCCCAGCATCAACCACATTCGGATTTGGGGCTGTCCAGCACACGTGTTGGACAAGGAAGCTGATAAGTTGGCATCTAGGACGGAAGTACGGCTATTTGTAGGATACCCTAAAGGAACACGAGGGGGTTGTTTTTATAGTCCTAAAGACCAGAAGGTAGTGGTGAGCACCAATGCCAGGTTTTTAGAAGAAGACTATATGCATGAGCATAAGACCCCAAGTGAAATTATTCTTTACGAATTAAGGGGAGACAATCAAGTACCAAGTGTACAAGAAGATATACCACAACAAACTGCACAGCGTGTTGACCCTTATGTCACCACACATGAATTGCCTCGGCGTAGTGGGAGGGTAACTCGATTACCCAGTCGTTTCTTGTTAGTGGGAGAGTCCTCGGATTCAGTCCCCAGTGATGAACAAGAACCTGATCCCTGTACCTATAAAGAGGCAATCCAAGATGTTGATGCAGATTCTTGGCATAAGGCCATGGATTCAGAAATAGAATCCATGCATGCTATGGAGGTCTATGACCTCAAAGACCTTCCCAAAGGCAAGAAAGCCATTGGGAGCAAATGGGTCTTTAGGCGTAAGAGAGGACCTGACGGGAAGGTTACTACCTTCAAGGCACGGTTGGTTGCAAAAGGTTTTACCCAGAAAGAGGGCATCGATTATGATGAAACCTTTTCACCAGTAGCCATGCTAAAGTCAATCCGGATACTCTTATCCATAGCAAGTCACATGGACTATGAGGTTTGGCAAATGGATGTCAAGACAGCATTCCTTAACGGGAATCTGGATGAGGACATCTATATGCAGCAACCTGAGGGTTATGTGAAGAAAGGCCAAGAGCATCAAGTCTGGAAGCTAAAGAAGTCTCTTTATGGACTTAAACAAGCTTCCAGATCTTGGAATATTCGCTTTGATGAGGTGATCAAATCCTTTGGATTTGAGCAATGTCCAAGTGAAAGTTGTGTGTACAAGAGGTGCAACGGAAACGTAGTGGTATTCTTGATACTATACGTAGATGATATTCTTCTCATTGGAAACAATGTCAAGATATTATTAGACGTAAAGGTATGGCTTTCTGAACAGTTTCAAATGAAGGACATGGGAGATGCATCGTACATTCTTGGTATGAAGGTCACTCGTGATCGGAAGTAAAGAATGTTGTGCTTATCTCAAGCCGCCTACATTGATACTGTGCTTGCCCGTTTCAGCATGCAGAACTCCAAGAAAGGATTCTTACCTTTCAGACATGGAGTTGCTCTATCTCAGGATATGTGTCCTAAAACACAAAAGGAGATAGATGAGATGGCTATCATTCCTTATGCTTCGGCTGTAGGAAGTCTCATGTATGCCATGCTGTGCACGAGGCCTGATATCTGCTATGCTGTTGGCATGGTAGCTAGGTATCAGTACAAACCTGGTCAAGGACACTGGATTGCGGTAAAACATATTCTCAAGTATCTGAAAAGAACTCGAGATTATAGTTTGGTTTACCAGTCTGACAATCTAGTTCCTTTGGGTTACACTGATTCAGATTTTCAAGGTGATCGAGATGAGAGAAAGTCAACCTCGGGTTATGCGTTTACCTTGGGAGGCGGAGCTATTTCATGGAGAAGCGTAAAGCAGAAATGCATCGCAGATTCTACCATGGAAGCCGAGTATGTTGCTGCTTCTGAAGCAGCAAAAGAGGCTGTATGGCTCAGGAGCTTCTTGTATGACTTAGGGGTGTCTGAGAGTTTGCCTGAGCGTGTAATCATTTATTGTGATAACGCTGGTGCAGTGGCAAACTCAAAAGAACCTAGAGCTCATAAAGCAAGTAAACACATAGAAAGGAAGTACCACATCATACGAGACATCGTAAAGCGAAGAGACATAGCTGTCACTAAGATTGCATCGTTGGACAACTTGGCAGATCCCTTCACGAAGACTTTACCCATTAAGGTTTTCGAGAAACACGTAGAGGGCCTTGGTTTACGATACATTGCAGCTAGACTTTAATATAAGTGGGAGAGCATGTTTTTGCATTGTATACTAAAAGTTTAGCTTTAGTATAAGTGGGAGATTGTTGGATTATACTGTAAAGCAAACTTTTAGTACGCTTTTGTATTATTCAATTTCCTTATTAACTGGAATAAATAAATTGTTATTTCACATTGTGTTGCTTTTATTTATGTTTTATATATATTAGCATGTCCACTTATTTAATATTGTAGACAACATGGTGTGTGGAGATCACACAGAAGATCTTGTTGTCAGTTCTTTATTAAATATAAATGGGTTTCACAACTGAGATGGTTATGGACAAAACCATCGGTTTAAGTTGTAGTGTAAACTTGGAATTAGTTTGTCTTGACTATTAGTTTACACTAATGTGCTGCGTCACATTGAAAGGATCACAGTTGAGATATGTTCTTCTATTCTGACATTGAAGAACCAAGATCTCGGTAACTCTGTTAATTCTTAACCTTAGATGAAATAAATTAAATATATGGAATAAATGTTCGTTGCTTTAATTTACCATAAGTGAGAATCCTTAGTGATTCAATATGCTTCGTATTTTGGGCAACTACATTATTCGCATAGTAATTAATTTATTATCATTAAGGCACCATGTCCTGGACATCCAGGTTGATGACATCCCCTTAAGGAACTCAATAAGGATTATTGTATAAACCCTGCAGGTGGATTTAATCCGTACAATAATAAGTTTTGAGTGGTATTACTTAAGGAATTAAAAGATATTAATTAATTAAATTGTCAGAAGATTTAATTAATTAATGGATGTGGAACATCTTAAACATGGGGAATTAATTAAGTTTAATAGAAGCCCAGATTCAATTTGGGTTGGGCTGGGAGTGCAATATTAATTCTTTAATGGAATGAATTAATATTTTATGATTCGAATTATATTCAGGGCTGAATATAGAGATTTGGATCTATAAGGGAGCCCGAGCCCAACACCTTCTAAAGATCCCCGGTCTGGCCCAATTACCTGTTGGGAGACTTATTAATATGCGGTCTTTGTCAAACCCTAGTGACGTTTTTTTTTTAAAAAAGAGGCGAAAACCACAGGTGCAAGCCGTCAGCTCTAGGGTTTCACGAAGAGCAAAATTCGTCTCCCTCCGTTTGATAGATCGCCGCCCATCCGGTGTTCGAGCGGGGTTTGGGAACAGTCTGGAAGGTCTCTAGCGGAATCAACCTGTTCGTGATTGCTGTTGGTGGTTCCAAAAAGGGTACATCTCTAGTTCATTCTTATAGGAGCATGCTTAGGATCGTTTAATACCATGTATGTACGCGTTGGCATCCAACAACGATCCGTGGGAATGAACAGCCCTCACCGGCGTGTTCCTACATCATTAGTTAGAGTGCGAAGCTGTGAGACATTTTTTTTTTAATCATGGACATGTTTGCCGGTTTTGGTTCTACGTAGAGGCATTCTAGTGTAAGTGAGGGTGCAAACCATGGTTTGCTATCTTACCCGAGTTCCGTAGTCGGAGAATCGATATTTGGGTGGAAGCTTGTTATGGGAGAAGAAGAAAAATTTGGTATATATGTAGGGGAGGAAGAAAAAGAAGATCGGTAGAAAAGGAAAAGAATGAAAAAAAATAGGTGGGGAACAAGAAGGAGGCGGCATCATCAAGAATGAGTGTTTTTTGTGTATAAAATAAATTTAAATAATTTACAGTTAATCATTATTTGAATTATATATAAAATTAAATTTATTTTAATATATGTGGTTTAATATCAATTTTTTAAAATAAAATTAATATTTTAAATTTATGTTATATAAATATTATATTAATTATAAAAATAGTAATATATTTGCAATTTATATTACTAACGAATAAATTAAT